ATAAATAAAAGTCGTCGCTCATATAACCCTAGATAACTGTTAAACCTCAAATAGCTGCCAGGAGCTTCTGAGGAAGGTCGCCAAGCGACCTGGCTTCCAGCCACTCCACGCGCAGATCGGCAAAAGGCAATAGCTCAATGGAGCGAGAGATCACATGGAGGGCACACACGGCCTGAGACTCAACTCTAATGTATGTGTAAAGTCTATGTACACACATATGTATGTATATTACATACATGTAAATATCAACTCTCAGGCTCCAAGACTTACGGTAATATGAAGTAAGCCTATAACAGAGCTGATGTTGGCAGCATGCCCGGCTTCCATGTGTTCTTCCGCGTTTCAACCCAGCTGCACTGGCGAATGCTGAGAAGGCAAGCCTCAAAAGCATGCTATGCAAGCGAGCAAGCAGATCCAGGGCTGTTTCAACCATTATATTGGGGTCATAATGGGAAAATGGAAAAGAAAATGGAAACGACTAGTAAAGGTTTAGGTAGTATAAGGGGTTATAGTGCATCTCTGTAGGTCTGTTCCCTGCGAGCATAAGCATCTGTGAGGAATGCAGAAAATGGAACAGAAGCCTTGCAGCACTTCTCCATTCTCATTCAGCCTGTGGATGCATGCAATAATGCAGTCATGCTAAAGACAATGTCACAGTCGACATGGGAGCCGCTTGCTTGCTTGTGGCCATAGATGATAAATCTGTTTCACTGAGCAAGGGATGAGCCCAGCCTTGCGACGATAGCTTTTCTGGGCAGAAGACATGAGCTACAGTCTAAACTCCTAAACGGGGTTATATAGGGGACTATTATAGGGGCTATTAAGGGGGATACTAGGAGTTTAGACTATAGCTCAAATAAGCGGATTTCCTGGGCAGCATGGCACATCAGATGTGTTCAATCTATAGAACTTACTGTTCATGGGTGTCTTAGTCGATGCGTGCCGTTTGGGAGCGTTGACCCTGCTGCGTCTCACCTTGTGATTCGCGAGTCATGACACGGACAGGAAGTAGTTACAAAAAGACTCCGTCAGCATGATGGCCAGTCTGATGTGTTCTCTGGTGTTCGGGTGTGTGTTTCTCGGGCTTCGACATGTCAACAGCAGTAGACAGATGTGTGGACAAGTAAGCACGCGGCGGCTGAATTAATTACTGTCAACTCAAACCTGGTAAGCAATCCAAGATGTTGGTTGCGCTTGCTAAGCTGCTGCAGGGTCTGAACTTGCTGAAGTGGCTCCGTGCCCGCTACAGCTTTCTTGAGCCACTGGGCTGTCACTGCAGTACTGGAAATTGCAAGCGGGCTGCAAGACTTGGCAAGGAGCAAATGTGCCTTGTGCGAACATGCGTCATCCAGACCATACTCAAGCCAGCCTCGTGCGGGTGAGGCTGCCCATCATCATCATATCCACCGACACCTCCCGTGAGTGCATGCGGAGACCTCAAACGTTTCCAGCATCACTTGATGATCATTGTCACAGCCGCCCAGCTCGAGAGTGCTGCCACGCGTGAGCAGCGAGTTATTGCAATAGCGACTGAACAGCAGCAGGCTGTCGGCCATTGAAGCTGGTTGCAGTGAATGGCTCAAAAAGCCCTTCACCAAGCAGGAGATGGGTATACAATTATGTCGGGCAGCGTCCCCTCGCATAGAGTTCACCGTGTGGTTGGCAGGTCAATTTGGACACTTAATGTTTGCTGCCGGGAGGAGCTTCTGGCGCGACTAACTCTTGCCACGCGGGCTGGGTGCTCAAGATATCCAGCTGTACCTTTGCTATGCTCCAGGCTCAGCGACCAGGCCTTGTAGTAGCACCAATGCTTTCATAAACCCGGCCAGTTGGAGATCCTTGCAGCAGTCTGCAGCTTTGGGCTGGCGGACGCTGAGAAAACAACTCGCAACATTCACATGAATTGGCAAGGTTTAGAAATGCGCCAGCGTACCACAAACCCTGTTTAGTGGTCTGCATCGACAAGCGATATTTGGATGTGCTCTGACATTCCAGTGCTTGGATGTCAGCGGAAAATGGATGAGATGATTCTAGGCAATAGGCTGAGATGGAACAGTCTTGAAGATGGATCTGTCCACTTTCTGAGGTTGTTGAGGAGGTGGCTTCTCACTGTGTAAGCTCAGCTGCATCAGAGGCCGGATCCTAGCACGAAGGTTCGCGACATGGAAAATCTCGCTTCGGGAACTTCAAGCAATCGCAGAGCTTTGAGAGGAGCTTGCTGTTCATTCGGGACATTTTCTTCCGCATTTCAGCAGATCCGGGTCCAGGCAGGCTGCCTGTGATACAGCATTGAAAATGAAGAACACATGTGGCCGCGAACGCATGAATTTATGGCAGCATGATCTTGCTAAAGCTTGCGGGGCAGGCTGTCGGTGCCTGCAGATTCGCCAATGCCCCGCACTGCACGGCCATCCGTCGAGGGAGCAGGCTTCAGCAAGGATGGTTGTCAAACCTATGACGCAGCCGGAGTGAGATTTTTCAATAGATGTTGCCGAGGCTTCGACGGCGTCTCCCCGCCATGTTCTGCAAAGCAGCAAGCCTGTAGACTTTGGCACAGTCTGGACCCAACCCAAAATTACCTGAGCGATTGTAAGCGGAGTACATGCATGCCGCAACGAGGCTAATCCATCGCTATTGCTGCTATTGGTCGATTTGAAGCAGTTTCAAAACCGCATCGAGGCTCGAACTTCCCAAATGTTCATCATGGTGCCAGGCTACGTCTCCGTGCGCAGTCTCAAGCCTTCGAGTTCCAATGCCTGAAGGCTGCTTGGAGTATAATATAGTACATAATATAGTATATTATATTATAATATACTATATGATATAGTAGATAGTACTATATGATATAGTATATGGTGTGTTACCAGGATTTTTCAGGCAGAGCCTTCCTAGAACTTGTCGGGCTGGCCGTCGTAGTCGAAGCCTGATCCTGAAACTAAGCGGGGCTGCAGAGAAATAGAACATTTAGTGTTCGATCTGAGGTGAGGGCGAAGAGAAGGAAGAGGAGAAGAGATCAGAATCATCGTCCTCAAAGCCAGACTCGTCGTGGCCTCAGTTTTGGCACTTGCAAGCATGCAGATCAGTTCAGCTCGTGTGCAGCAGTTCGTGCAGAACAAGTCCTGGATTTGCTGCTGCAAGAGTTCAGCAAGTATTCTCAGGCTTCCGCTTATGAAGCGAAAAGGTTCCAAGGACTCCAGCCCCAGCCCTGGGAAAGATAGAATTTGCATGTCCGGCTAGACATTGCAAGCGTGGATTGCCAGTTGCTGTTCCCATTCCACGCAAGGTGCCAAGGCTCCTGCTGGATCTGTACGCTCTTTTTTGGCAGCCTGCAAGGCCACTCGGCCGTTGTGAGTGCCCTACCCTGACATTGATCAGATTGAAGCTATCCTTGTCCTCCCTGGAACCTGTCATCCGAGTCCTGGGTCCTGCGTAGGGTTTCAGAGTGGACAGGTATCCCCAGGTAATGTACCCTGTA